AAAGGGGTCGCCAAAGACCTTAGGAAAACATATATTTCTGCTGGTCTTAGGAATCCCTTTGGCAGAGAAGGCAGAAGATCTCTCAGCCTGTCCTTCTCTTCCTTTTTGGAAACAGACAGAGAATCTTCCCACTGAAAGCCCTCCTCTGCTGTGATTGACCAGCCTCTCAACCAAGGGGAGGACTGTTTCTGAGATTCCAAGCAGGGAGGGGAGAGCAGGCGTGCTTGGCAGTGTGGTTCACATGTGCGGGCGAGGGAGAGCATGTGAGGTTGGAGGGAGGCTCACGCCAGCAAGTCCCTTCAAGGCATGGGGGTTCTGTGTGGGAAGTTTGGCCCAATCTTATCGTTGGTGGGGTTCAGAATGCTCTTTAATTGTAGGTGAACTATAAATCCCAGCAACTACAACTCCCAAATGTCAAGGTCTATTTTCCCCAAACTCCACCAGTGTTCACATTTGGGCATATTGAGTATTCGTGCTAAGCTTGGTCCAGATCCATCATTGTTTGACTCCACAGTGCCTGCTAGATGTAGGTGAACTACATTTCCAAAACTCAAGGGCAATGCCCACCAAATCCTTCCAGTATTTTCTGTGGTTACAGGAGTTCTGTGTCCAAGTTTGCTTCAATGACATCATTGGTGGAGTTTAGAATGCTCTTTGATTGTAGGTTAACTATAAATCCCAGCAACTACAGCTTCCAAATGACAAATCAACCCCCTCTCCCCAAATTAAATTTGGGCATAACGGGTATTTGTGCCAAATTTGCTCCAGTGAATGAAAATACATCCTGCATATCAGATATTTACATTACGATTCATAACAGTAGCAAAATTACAATTATGAAGTACCAGTGAAAATAATATTATGGTTGGGGGTCACAACAACATGAGTAACTGTATTGAGGGGTCACGACATTAGGAAGGTTGAGAACCACTGTCTTAAAGGGAAAAATTCACATGCTTGGACTTTGCCTTCAGATCTTCATTTCCTTTCTGGTAAGAAGAGGATTCCTGTCCAGGGTACATCTACTTTGTAAACTTAATCCAAATTGGTACTTTATTAACTTCCATGGGACAATGCTATGGAATCTTGGGAGTTTTAATTTAGCGAGGCCTTTCACCTTCCCAGCCAAAGAGGTCATGTGTCTCACCAAAGTGTCAGGATCTCATAGCTCTGCAACCAGACAATCAAAGTGACATCAAACTGCATTAATTCTACAGTGTAGGTGCACCCCAGGTTTCTTCTTGAAACAAGCAACCCACAGTTTTAGCTATTTTATTTTTCCCACAAGAAAGTCTTTCAAAACCATGCACTTTTCAAAGGCAATTCACAACACAGCACTCATTCTGTACAAAATTCACATGTGGTTTGTTTTGTGCAGAAAACTACATTTTTGGCACAGGGCACTGGGTTTTCAGTGCAGAAGAATAATCTTTCTACACAGAAATAGTATTCTTAAACATAAAATATTGTTCCTTGTGCAGTAAATGTTGCTATCTATCTATCTATCTATCTATCTATCTATCTATCTATCTAAATGCTCTGTGCATAATGAGTACCTTAAAAACAAAAGAACCAATGAACAAAATCACACCAAATTTGGCAACAAAACATCTCACTACACAAGGAGTGACCATCACTCAAAAAATTATGCTTTTGTCGTTTGGGAGTTGTAGTTGCTGGGATTTATAGTTCATCTATAATCAAAGAGCATTCTGAATTCCACCAATGATGGAATTGAACTAAACCTGGCACACAGGCCTCCCATGACCATCAAAAAATAATAGCAGTGTTTGGTGGGCATTGACCTTGAGTTTGGGAGTTGTAGTTCACCTACATCCAGAGAGCACTGTGGACTCAAACAATGATGGACCTGGACCAAACTTGGCACAAATATTCCATATTCCCAAATATGAACACAGATGGAGTTTGGGGGAAATAGACCTTGACATTTGGCAGTTGTAGTCACTGGGATTTATAGTTCACCTACAATCAAAGACCATTCTGAATGAACCCCACGAATGACAGAACTGGGGCAAACTTCCTACACAGAATCCCCATGACCAACAGAAAATACTCAAGGCCATACAGTCCAACTCCCTTCACCAGGGCAAGAAAACATAATCAAAGCCCTCCTGACAGAGAGCCATCCAGCCATAGATATAGATATATATGATTCACACACAGAGAGATAAAGTATTATAGATTTGAAAGAGACTCTAAAGACGGACAATTATATGTTACATGTTCCAGAGTAGGCAAACCAGACAATCTCTACATCAACACTGTCAAAGAAACATCAAGTAATACTGTTTACCCACAAGCATAAAGACATTACATATATTAGCAACCAGCACTTTCTAATTACTTTATTTCACATATCACCAGACAGGGCCACAGCAACGCGTGGCAGGGGACCGCTAGTTCCATATAACAGGACATATTTCATACAGAATTAACTCCCAATTAATGGCCAGGGGTGGAGAGGAACTGTGGTCTCCAAAGAAGAACCCAAGTATTGCAATGGGAAGGTTATTGGGCATAATAGCCTGGACTTGACAAGAGGAAATCAGGATGATGATGATGATGATAATAATAATAATAATAATAATTTTTTGTGTCAGGAGCGACTTGAGAAATGGCAAGTCGCTCCTGGTGTGAGAGAATTGGCCGTCTGCAAGGACGTTGCCCAGGGGATGCCCAGATGTTTTTGATGTTTTACCATCCTTTTGGGGAGGCTTCTCTTATGTCCCCGCATGGGGAGCTGGAGCTGACAGAGGGAGCTCATCTGCGCTCTCCCCGGATTTGAACCTGCAACCTGTCGGTCTTCAGTCCTTCCAGCACCGGGGGCTCCATAATAATAATAATGATTATGCTTTCCCTGGGCTACCTTAAGGCATTCAATGTCCTTTAGCTCAACTCGCCTCGCAGGGTGGTGGCTAACTATTCTATCCTCAGCTCCTTAGAGGAAGTGCAGTAAGACGTGTATGTTATATAAATAGACCTGGAATTGCATGTCACATTCTGTCAAAACAGAACAGATTGTGTGAACTGGTTGTGCGATGATGACCTGTTCCTTCTGTCTCTTTCATTTTGACAGTCTGCTTTCAGTCTGGGAGCGAGGTCAAGGCTGCTGGTTCCCTGTTTTTCTTTCTGTTTCCATTCCAAGGGCGGCATAAACAGGAAAATGTCCTGAATTACATAGTTGGCAGCTCTTTGCAGGCTCTTTGCAGGCTAGGGAAGTCTGGGCTTGGAGAGAACATGATGCAGACAGATATATATCTCTGTTTTGGCGGGTGTGAGGAGAGATTTCTGGGTCAGCCGCACATGAAATAACCACCTGTGCTTGAAATCAGCTCTCCATCATGGAAACATGTAATGTGATGTTCAGATCCATGAGATTACTGAAGAGTCCTCCTTGCTATCCACGTTGATAGAAAAGGTTCAAAATTGCATGCTTGAGACTTGGCAAAGCTACCATTTTTTTTTCATTGAGATTTTCTCAAAATTTCTCATGTCCACCCTGAAATATTTCTCCAACTGAAAATTCTGTTCAGCTGTTCTTGGTCAGAGTTTGGGAAATAATAATAATAATAATAATAATAATAATAATAATAATAATAAACACATAAAACTTCTCTGGGACTTCCGAATTCAGATTGACAGAATTTTGGAGCACAATACTCCTGACCTCACAATCATGGGGGAAAAAGTATGAATTGTCAATTTTGCAATCCCAGGTGACAGCCGAATTGACGAGAAGCAACTGGAAAAGCTTACATGATACGAGGATTTAAATATCTTACTGTAAAGACTCTGGCTCAAGCCAGTCAAGGTGGTCCCAGTGGTGATTGGCACACTGGGTGCAGTGTCTAAAGACCTTGGCCTGCACTTAAAAACAATCGCCGCTGACAAAATTACCATCTGTCAGCTGCAAAAGGCCATCCTGCTCGCATCTGCACTCATTATTCACCGATACAACACACAGTCCTAGACACTTGGGAAGTGTCTGACATGTGATCAAATACAAAAGCCAGCATAGTGATTGTGTTTGCTGTGTACTAATCTTGTTATGTATCAAATAATAATAATAATAATAATTATTATTATTATTATTATAGGATTTAAAGATCGAACTGCAAAGATTTTGGCACAAGCCAGTAAAGGTGATTCCAGTGGTGTTTGGCACACTGGGTGCAGTGCCTAAAGACCTTGGCCTGCACTTAAACACAATTGGCACTGACAAAATTACCATCTGTCAGGTAATTGCACATATCTGCACACATTATTCATCAATACATCACACAGTCCTAGACACTTGGGAAGTGTGTGACGTGTGATCGAATACAAAAGCCAGCATAGTGATCTTGTTTACTGTGTACTTATCTTGTTATGCATCTAACAACAACAACAACAACAACAACAACAACAACAACAACTGCAATTCCCAGGCTGGGTAATTATAGGAGCTCTGATCGAAAAGGAAATGTTTCCAAGTTCAGTTTCGGCTATCCAGTGAGATTCCACCCTACAGTTCTGCATTTTCCCACCCCTTTCTAGAATATGTACAACAACAACAACAACAATAATTTTTATTGATTAGCAGTTGGCCATATAAAAAACAGACAGTGCAAGCACAACATACAACATACGTCTGGTCCTGTTAAAATAGAATACAAATATATAGAATATGTATATTTCAGAAGGGATTGCATTCTGCAGTTTTAATCATTTTTTTTTTGCTCTTGTTGGAACCTGTAGATTTCAAAAAATTGAAAGATCAGGTGAAAAGATGTCCCACTCTGTGATTATGATCTCCATATTATTTTGGTTCTTCTCCAGGATTTGCAGATTTCAGAAAACTGAAAGATTGGGTCAAGCAGGTTTCCATTCTGTCCCCCCCCCCCACCCCCCGTTCTCCAGAACCTGTGGATTTCAGAGGCTAGGACAAAAGATTTCCCAGTCTGTGATTCTGATCTCTCTGTTTTCTTGTTCTTCTGCAGAACCTGCAGCTTCCAGAAGGCATGATGAAGGCATTTTGGGCTCTGGTGGCTGTCCTGCTGTTGCCCAATGAGGCCCTGGCAGCCCGGGCGCTTCGTACACGGAGGGAGCTGGCCCCAGGGCTGCATGAACGGGGGATCCGGGACGCGGGGGGCTCCTACTGCCAGCGCCATGATGCCTGCTGCAGCGGAAGGGATGACGAATGCACAGTGCCTTACCTTGACACCATTTGCTACTGTGATCTCTTCTGCAACCGCACTGTGTCTGACTGTTGCCCGGACTTCTGGGAGTACTGTTTGGGAATTGAGCCCCCTTTATCTGTGCAGAAAGGTAGGTTACAATTAGAACTTTTATCTGACTGGAGCATATGGACAATTTTATATGGAGCTAGAGTTGACTCTGAAGTTGGGAATAGTTCATGGGATGGGACTGATTTCTTGTTTGAGGAGCGTTGGGTGGGGAGAATAATACATTCCTAGGGTGCATCTGCACTGTAGAAATAAGTAGTTGACAACACTTTATCTGCCATGACTAAATGCTATGGAAAGTGGTTTGTTTTTTTTAGTGTCAGGAGTGACTTGAGAAACTGTAAGTTGCTTCTGGTGTGAGAGAATTGGCCATCTGCAAGGAAGTTGCCCAGGCAATGCCCAGATGTATTGTCGAAGGCTTTCATGGCTGGGATCACTGGGTTGTTGTAGGTTTTTCCGGGCTATATGGCCATGTTCTGGAGGCAATTTTTCTCTTGACGTTTCACATGCATCTATGGCAAGCATCCTCAGAGGTAGTGAGGCCTAGATGTTTGATGTTTTACTATCCTTGTGGGAGTCTCTCTCATATCACCGCATGGGGAGCTGGAGCTGACCGATGGACCACTTTTCCCGGATTCAAACTTTTTGAACCAGCAGTCCTGCCAGCACAAGGGTTTAACCGGGGGATCCATGGAAATTGGTGAGGTACCAGCACTCTTTGGCTTAGACAGCTATGGACCTTGTAAAACTACAACTCCCAGCATGCCTCTGTTTTAATTCATGGCAGTGAAAGTGGTGTCAAACTGCAATTATTGTGGCTTGTAGGTTTTTTCGGGCTATATGGCCATACGTGAACTACAACACCCAAACTCAAGGTCAATGCCCACCAAACCCTTCTAGTGTTTTCTGTTGGTCATGGGAGTCCTGTGTGCCACGTTCGGTTCAATTCCATTGTTGGTGGAGTTCAGAATGCTCTTTGATTATAGGTGAACTATAAATCCCAGCAACTACAACTTCCAAATGACAAAATCAATTTTTTTGGAGTGATGGTCAATCCTTGGGCTTGTAGTTGTCTTGTGGCCAAATTTGATGTCAATTCATCTAGTGTTTTTTGAGTTATGTTAATCCCACAAATGAACATTACATTTTTATTTATATAGATATATTGAGTGGTCAACATCCTACATCTGGAATCCATCTGCAAGGATCATTATAAGAAGGATTTTGCATGTTCCTTCTATAAATTAAAACTGTCCCAACAATTTAAGAGTGCAAGGGTGTAGTAGTGTATTGTCGAAGGCTTTCACGGCCAGAATCACTGGGTTGTTGTGAGTTTTCTGGGCTGTATAACAACAACAACAACAACAACTTTATTTTTATACCCCGCCAGCCATTTCCTCTAGGGGACTCGGAGTGGCTTACAAGGGACAAGCCCAACAATTACAATTAAAACACAGAAATAAAACACTTACCAATTAAAAACATCTGATAAAAGCAATAAAACACAATTATAAACAACATAAGAGCAATATGGCTGAGAAAAAAGAACATAGCTGAGGTACAATTTAATGTGTGCAATACATTTTACAGAAATGAAAAAAAGTGCAACAAACTAGTAGATTGGGTGAGAAATACGGCCATAAAACATGTTGAGGTAGACCATTTGAGGGCTGGAGTAAAGTGCAGAACTCAATAGGAACAGGGAAATTACTGGTGAGCTGCTTAATGGAAAGCACACCGGAACATCCAGGTTTTTAGTTGACTCCCAAAGGAGGACAAAGTGGGAACCTGTCTGATCTCCCTGGGGAGGGAATTCCAGAGCCAAGGGGCCACCACCGAAAAGGCTTTCCCCCTTGTCCCTACCAACCATGCTTGAGATGGTGGGGGGAGAGAGAGTAGTGCCTTCCCAGATGATCTCAAGGTAAGCACTGGTTCATAGGTGAAGAGGCAATCACGGAAAGTAGGATAATGGTTATAATAATATAAAACCAATTTTCCTAGTTTCTAACAGACCTCACAACCTTTGAGGAGGCCTGCCATAGATGCAGGTGAAACATCAGGAGTGAATGCTTCTGGAATTTGACCATTGTTCTGTCGCACGCTGGGCCTGTAAAAATTGTCTTTTGAATAGGACGTGCACTTTGTGCCCAGCGGGAAGCCAGGGCGCCTCTAAAGAGAGGCCCTCAAGGATTTTCCTGTACAATAGTCTTAGAGGCTTGAAAGGTTTAACAAAGTCCTTTATTATTGAACAAATTAAACAAATACTTCCCAGATCTTCAATGAGTCAAATAAATGCTTCTTAACTTGCCTACAATGGACAGACACCTTGCTTGGATAACTATTTCTTTCTTTAACAAGGAAAACCCTTTTTTTTAACCTCTCCCAGGCTGTCTACTATCTAAGCTTTACTGATGAGGGTTCTACTACCGCAGTGGTTCTCAACCTGGGGTCCCCAGATGTTTTTGGCCTACAACTCCCAGAAATCCCAGCCAGTTTACCAGCTGTTAGGATTTCTAGGAGTTGAAGGTCAAAAACATCTGGGGACCCCAGGTTGAGAACCACTGCTACCGGATCCAAACTGCTTCTTGGGCACCAAGTAGACCTACCAGTCAAGGCTTGTAGATTCTCCAGCTGGAGTTCTTTGGGTCTGTAAAGCTGTTTTCCCCCAGATGCTGTAAGGCTGAGAGGCTGTAAGCTCCCAGCCAAAGCTTTGGGACTCCCCCCCCCCCCACCCGGAAATTCCTAAGAAATGAAGCTTTTCTGCAGGTGAAGCTGGTCCACGTCCTATAGCTTACTTTGCTTCTGTAAGACTGAACTAAAAATGGCTCCCTCTCCTCCCCAGATCCCTGGGGAAGGGGGCAGAACCAAACACAACAATGATAGACAGGTGGCTAGCCCTATAACTACAAACCAAGGGAAGTCACCTTTTTGCAAAACCCTTGAAACCTTGGAATGCATGCAAACATTAAATAGAAAGAAAATGAAGTTGGAGCTCCTGGTACAGTCGTACCAGCACAGCCATACAGCCCAGAAAACTCACAACAACCCAGTGTAGTAGTGGTTTGAGTGTTGGGCCATGACTCTAAAAACCAGGGTTTGAATCTCTCTTCTTAGCCATTGAAACCCCCTTGGGCAAATCATACCCTCTCAGCCTTAGAGGAAGTTAATGGGAAATCCTCTGTGAACAAATCTTGCCTTGTGAGAGTGTCACCATGAGTCAAAGTTGTAGCAATATTAGTTGTATGAGCATCTTGCTTATGGCACATGTTGGTGGTCATCTTCTGGATCCCTGAACCTGTTTGTAATGCTTTTTATACAGATGTGCCTTTGGTCCAAACACACTCCTCCAACTGTGCATATTTTTGCTTCTGCAGCAGCTGGTGATTCTTCTTGACTCCTTCCAAGAAAGCCGTGACTTTCTTTTTTTGGACACAATGGCCGCCTTTCTTTTGGGTCTGCCCTAGGAAGGGCGGGGGAGATGCCTTCAGATTTTCCCAGCACTGGCTTGTCTCTGCCTTGATGGATTCATAAGAGGATGGAGTTGGAATATTCCTTGGGGGGACAAAATCTTTGCCATTGTGCTTACTTCCTGCCTTAATAGTTTCCTTTGACAATGAGAAGAAACCATACTAGCTTGAGAATCTTAGAATCAGCATATTTTGGAGATGCACAAGCTATTGAAAAAAATACACTTTAGACAAGCTCAGGTGAGGGTCTAGATCCAGGGAAATCATGCTACTCCTCTATTCTGGCTTGGTTAGACCACATCTGGAATTTTGTGTCCAATTCTGGGCACCACAATTGAAGGGAGATGTTGACAAGCTGGAATGTGTCCAGAGGAGAGTGACTAAAATGATCAAGGGTCTGGAGAACAAGCCCTATGAGGAGCAGCTTAAAGAGCTGGGCATGTTTAGCTGAAGAAGAGAAGACTGAGTGGAGACATGATAGCCGTGTATAAATGCTCAATTTTAGGGAGGAGGGAGCAGGCTTGTTTAGGGAGGAGGGAGCAGGCTTGTTTTCTGATGCCCTGGAGACTAGGACCCAGAATAATGGCTTCAAACTACAAGAAAGGAGATTCCATCTGAACATTAGGAAGAAATTCCTGACTGAGAGCTATTCAGTAGTGGAACTCTCTGCCCCGGAGTCTGGTGGAGGCTCCTTCTTTGGAGGCTTTTAAACAGAGGCTGGATGGCCATCTGTTGGGGGTGCTTTGAATGAGGTTTTCCTGCTTCTTGGCAGGGGTTTGAACTGGTTGGCCCATGAGGTCTCTTCCAACTCTATGATTCTATGATTCTATAAGGGCATATTTAATAATATTGTCCAGATCACAACCTTCTTTTTTACTGGGAAAAGCTATTGATCCTTCCAGTTAAGTTTCATCATCATTGTTGTTGTTGTATGTCTTTAAGTCAATTTGAACTTAGGCTCTTCCAAGTCATAGGTGCATCAACATTAGAGAATGAATACAGTTTGGCACCACTATTGCCCTTGCTCAATGCTATTGAATGTTGGGATTTGTAGTTTGGTGAGGTACCTGCATTATTTGGCAGAGAAGACTAAAGACCTTGCAAAACATCAATTCCGATTTTTTAGAGAACTGAGAGAATTGAGAGAATTGACCATCTGCAGGGACATTGTCCAGGGGTCGCCGAAACGTTTTACCATCCTCTGGGAGGCTTCTTTCATGTCCCCACATGGGAAGCTGGAGCTGACAGATGGGAGCTCATCCCGTCTTGGGGATTCGAATTGCCAACCTTCAGGTCAGCAGTTCAGCTGTCGCAAGGGTTTAACCCATTGCGCCACCACAGTGCCTATCAACTCCGATGACTGAGCATTGAGCCAGGGTAGTTAAAGTGGTGCCAACCTGCATTAATTTGACAGTGTAGATGCATCCTTAATTGTGCAAAATCCACACATACTATTTTTTGTACAGAAAAAAAATTCTGCACAGAAACGTGTAAGTTTTTGACGTACAAACGTCCAATACAATAAGTCCCAAACTAAAGTTTTTGAAAACTACAATTTCTAAATACTTACTTGCAGCAGGATGAACACTGCTCTAGATTCTCATTACTATTTTTGAGAATGAAATTAGTAAAGGATTGCACTGATAATGAAATTGTGTTCTGGGGTTTGGCACCTTACGTAAAGTCAAGATTTTGCCTTATCCTCTTGTATCAAAAAAGCCATCAGACCAGAATCGTGTATCCAGATGAACAATGTGAGATTTTGTTCCATGAAGCTGAACCTTTATTTCTTTCCCCCTCCCCGCTCTGGAGAGGTTAAAGGAGAGCATTTCTCCCATACTTTCCATGGATATTGGTAGCGGGAGTGGAGACGCTAAACTGTGTGCGGCGAGGGCTCCAAGGGGTGGGAGGCAATTCATGGAGAATAAATCTGTGTGTGGGTTTCTCCCTTGAATAGCTTTATAAGCTTAAGTTGCCTCCTCTCCTCTGTCTGCAAGAGGTTCCAAGAAAAACAATGCAGTCTTAAGGTGCATCTCCACTTGGATTTTGGAATACTGTATACAAATGCAATTTAACAGCCATGGCTCAATGCTATGGAATCCGGGGAGCTGTAATTATAAAAGGCCCTTAGCCTTCTTTGGCAAAGGATTCTGGTGCCTCACCAAACTACAAATCCCAAGATTCCATAGCATTCATCGATGGCAGTTAAAACAGTGTCATCTGCATTGATGCGACAGTGTTGATGAACCCCTAGTTTGGATGAGAAAACCTTGGAGTCTGAAGATATCTTTGCAAAGTTCATTCAGCTCAGAGTCCGTAAATTCATTCCACATTGTCAAACCCTATCAATTCTAGTCGTCATTGTCCTTTATCTATCTGCCAGATTACCCAAAGGCCTGGTCCCATATCCATGTTTTTAGTTTCCTTCTGAAAGAGAGGAGGGATGTCGATGATCTGATTTCCCCGGGAAGTGAATTCCACAGGTGAGGGGCCACCACTGAGAAGGCCCTGCTCCTTGTCCCCACCAATCTCACTTGTGATAGAGGTGGGGCCAAGAGCAGGGCCCACCCAGAAGATCTTAAACTCTGAGGCGGGACGTAGAAGGAGATGCGTTCAGACAGATACGCTGGGCCGGAGCCGTATAGGTTTTGTAGGTCAAAACCAGCACTTTGAATTGTGCTCGGAACTGGATCGGCAGCCAGTGGAGCTGACATAACAGAGGGGTGGTATGCTCCCTGTATGACGCTCCGGCGAGTAATCTGGCCACCGCCTGCTGGACTAATTGAAGTTTCCGAACAGTCTTCAAAGGCAAAGGCAACCCCACATAGAGTGCGTTGCAGTAATCTATTCGGGATGTAACAAGGGCATGGCTAGATCTGACTTCCCAAGCATAGAAGGCTAAAGAACTTGGAAAATGACAACTCCCGCAATGTGTTGACACTGAGCCATGGTAGTTAAAGTGGTGGAAAAGTGCATTAATTCTATAGTGCAGATCAGCGGTTCCTAACCTGTGGTCAATGGTCCAAGTGGTCCGCAAGAACTAAAATATGGTCAGCTGGCCCATCAGCCATAGCTTTGATCCTCCTTGCTCCTATTACCTGGAGTGATTTCACCTCCTCAGCTTCTGCTGAGCATTACATCCCAAAACTGGAAAGAGATCATGATCAAGACCCTTAGATATCAAGAGAACATCTCCTGGTCTTCTCCAGATCATAGAGCGATAGTTGGAAGAGTCTCCAAAGGCCATCAAGTCCAACCCTATCTTGCCAGGCAGGAAGACAGAAAGGGAAGACGTTGTATTCCAACCGTGTTTTAGAATGAAAACTTTTCAGTTGTGAAGAGAATGTGGATTTTTTTCTAACTAAAAAGATTGAGAAATGCATTTTGGCTTTCAGAATACTTGTATTTGCAAGTACAGTACATAGCTGTACAAAAATATATATCTTGGAGATGAAGCCAAATATAAACATGAAATCTATATCTGGGTTGCTGTGAGTTCTCTGGGCTGTATGGCTATGTTCAAGAAGCATTCTCTCCTGACATTTCACCCACATCTATGTCAGGCATCTTTAGACGATGTGATGTCTGTTGGAAACCAGGCAAGTGGGGTTTATATATCTGTGTAATGTCCAGGTTGGCCGAAAGAACTCTTGTCTGCTTGAGGCAAGTGTGAACTCTCAAACAGACAAGAGTTGTTTCTCCCACTCTGGACATTCCACAGATATATAAACCCTCTTTTCCTAGTTTCCAACAGACCTCACAACCTTTGAGGATGGCTGCTATAGATGTGGCTGTAACATCAAGAGAGAATGCTTCTGAAACATAGCCATACAGCCCAGAAAACTCACAGCAACCTAGTTATTCCAGCCATGAAAGCCTTTGACAACACAAATCCTTTTCTGTTTCATAGACACCTAGCCTGATAGTAACTGCATATAGCCTTGGATTCTCATCCCATTTTCTTCCTTCTTTCCCAGCCTGCATCCGCAATGGGTTCAAATTCCCAGCCGGAGCAACCTACAGAGACAACTGCAATCTATGGTAAGTGTGATTTTTCATTCATAAAATAGTTTTTATTTTATCTTTGCCAGAGAAGGCTGCAGATCATACAAAAACACAACTCCTAGGATTCCATAGCATTGAGTCATGGCAGTTAAAGTGGGATCAAACTGCATTAATTGTACAGTGTAGATGCACCCTATGAAACAGATATTCAAAGAGCCCAGAAGAGTTGCCAAGGAATACCAAGTGCCTTTTGGCTATATTTCAGAGGAAGGAACTATCAAAAACTACTTCTGAGTCTTCCTTTTCTAAAAACAGTCCCGATAAAACATATAGGGTCTCCATAAGGCAGTGATTCTCAACCTGGGGGCTGGGACCCCTGGATGGGGGTCTCAAGAGGTTGTCAGAGGGGTCGCCAAAGATCATCTGTTAGTCATGGGGTTTCTGTGTGGGAAGTTTGGCCCAATTCTATCATTGGTGGGGTATAGAATGCTCTTTGATTGTAGGTGAACTATAAATTCCAGCAATTACAACACCCAAATGTCAAGTGTATTTCCCCCAAACTACACCAGTGTTCACATTTGGGCATATTGAGTGTTCATTGAGTGTTCATTCCAAGTTTGGTCTAGATCCACCACTGTGCTTTCTGGATGTAGGTGAACTACAACTTGAAAACTAAAGGTCAATGGCCACCAAACCATTCCAGTATTTTTGTTGGTCATGGGAGTTCTGTATTCCAAGATTTGTTGAATTCCATTGTTGGCGGAGTTCAGAATGCTCTTTGATGGTAGGTGAATTATAAATCCCAGCAACTACAACTCCCAAATGACAAAATGAATCCCCCGCAACCCCACCAGAATTCAAATTGGGGCGTATTGGGTATTTGTGCCAAATTTGGTCCAGTGAATGAAAATACATCCTGCATACCAGATATTTACATTACTATTCATAACAATGGCAAAATTACAGTTATGAAGTAGCAATGAAAATAATTTTATGGTTAGGGCTCACCACAACATGAGGAACTGTATTAAGGGGTTATGACTGTATTAGGAAGGTTGAGAAACACTGCCATAAGGCAACATGAGACTTGAAGGCACATAGACACATAAATAAAAGGGTTGAGCCCTACAGTAAGAGCCTCTCCAAGCTTAGAAACATTTCTTTGGACCACAGTAACTCAAATCCCAACCTCAACCCTATCAATTTTTAGGGAGCATTTTTACAACTGGAACAAATATTACAAGATGTCTGATGTGCTGCTCTCCACTGAATTGTTCTTTCCAAGAAAAGTTCCTCTCTCCTGTATTCCTCATTAGAGGAATTGCAAAGCAGTGGGAAAAGGCAGAGGTCAAATTCCTCCATGTCAAATTATTATTACTGTTATTATGGAGAAAGAGAATGAACCTCCTCTGTGCCCAAAGTCGTAAATGCAAACATTCATACCCTCTGGCAGAGTTGGGTTGGCGAAATGTGCCAGTCCTTTAACCCTTTCAGGTGAAAGTATGTCCTTTTACTTTAGTTCCTTTCACTGAATGTTTCAACCCATTTGGAGACAGGTTGGAGCAGTAGAGAGATCAGGAGGAGAGTTTTAAAAGTGTACTTTTTGCTGGTTTTTGAAATGGATGTCATAGAATCCTAGACATTGACGAGACCACAAGGGCCAAAGATGTGTTTCTGAATCATCATCATCATCATCATCATCATAATCATCATCATCATCATCTATATAAATAAAATGTAATGTTTGTTTGTGGAATTAGCAGAACTCAAAAACCACTGGACAAATTGACACCAACTTTGGACACAAGACACCTAACAACCCAATGTGTGTCCTTCACTCAGAAAAATTGATTTTGTCATTTGGGAGTTGTAGTTGCTGGGATTTATACTTCACTTACAATCAAAGAGCATTCTGAACCCCACCAATGATGGAATTGAACCAAACTTGGCACACAGTTCTCCCATGACCAACAGAAAATACTGGAAGGGTTTGGTGGGCATTGACCTTTGGTTTTGGAGTTGTAGTTCACCTACATCACTGTGGACTCAAACAATGATGGATCTGGACCAAACTCTACACGAATACTCAATATGCCCAAATGTGAACACTGGTGGAGTTTGGGGAAAATAGAATCTTGACATTTGGGAATTGTAGTTGCTGGGATTTATAGTTCACCTACAATCACAGAGCATTCCGAACCCCACCAATGATAGAAATGAACCAAACCTCCCACACAGAACCCCCATGTGGGCTACAGCAACGCGTGGCAGGGGACGGCTAGTAAAAATAATAATAATTAATAAAACTTTATTTGTACCCCGCTACCATCTCCCCAAGGAACTCGGTGTGGCTTACATGAATTGTTTTGATTATAGGAGTAATTGACTTCTCAGGTTGTTTTATCTATGTCTTCTAGGTCAGTGTTTCTCAACCTGGGGGTTGGGACCCCTGGAGAGTGGTCGCAAGGAGGTTTCAGAGGGGCCACGAAAGAACCTCAGAAAACATATATTTCTGATAGTCTTAGGGACCCCTTTGGCAGAGAAGGCTGAAGATCTCTCTGCCTGTCCTTCTCTTCCTTTTTGGAAACAGATGATGAATCCCCCACCAAAAACCCTCCTCTGCTGTGTTTGGCCACCCTCTCAGCTAAGGGGAGGGCTATTTCTGAGACTCCAAGAAGCAGGGGGAGAGCAGGCGTACTCGGCACATGGCAGTGTGCTTCACATGTGCAGGCGAGGGAGAGTGAGCGAGGCTAGAGGGAGGCTCACGCCAGCGAGTCCTTTCAAGGCATGGGGATTCTGTGTGGGAAGTTTGACCTAATTTTATCGGTGGTGGGGTTCAGATTGCTCTTTGATTGAAGGTGAACTATAAATCCCAGCAACTACGATTCCCAAATCCCAAGTTCCTTTCACCCCCAAACTCCACCAGTATTCACATTTGGGCATATTGATATTTGTTCCAAGTTTGGTCCAGATCCATTATTTTTTGAGTCTGCAGTGCTTTCTTGATGTGAGTAAACTACAACTCCAAAACTCAAGGTCAGTGTCCATCAAACCCTTCCAGTATTTTCTGTTGGTATTGGGAGTTCTGTGTGCCAAGTCTGGTTCAATTCCATTATTGGTGGAGTTCAGAATACTCTGATTGTAGGTGAACTATACATCCCAGCAACTACAACTCCCAAATGACAAAATCAATCCTCCCCACAACCCCACCAGTATTCAAATTAGGGTGTATTGGGTATATTTGTACCAAATATACCCAATATATCCTGCATATCAGATATTTACATTACGATTTATAACAGTAGCAAAATTACAGTTATGAAGTAACAACAACAATAATTCTATGGTTGGTGATCACCACAACATGAGGAACTGTATTAAGAGGTTGCAGCGTTAGCAAGGTTGAGAACCACTGTCCTAGGTCTTCTGGGTGACTCTCTGGTATGTTTCCAATGGATGCTTTCATAGGGTTTTTTTTTTATCGTGTCAGGAGCGACTTGAGAAACTGCAAGTCGCTTCTGGTGTGAGAGAATTGGCCGTCTGCAAGGATGTTGCCCAGGGGACACCCGGATGATTTTGATGTTTTTATCATCTTTGTGGGAGGCTTCTCTCATGTCCCCATATGAGGAGCTGGCGCTGATAGAGGGACCACATCCGCCTCTCCCCGGATTCGAACCTGTGACTTGTGGGTCTTCAGTCCTGCCGGCACAGGGGTTTAACCCACTGCGCCACCGGGGGCTCCTCTCCCATAGGGTTGCAGTGGAGGACCTAGCAATGTCCAATCAGTTGGAAGCAAGGACCTTTTATCTTCCTATGGAAGAAATCTTGAATCTATCCACATTACACAATTAGATAATTTTTCCATTATTTTGAGCCTTCTTTATAAAGAGGGCTTAGTGCCTCACCATACTAAAACACTTGTTGTTGTTGTGGTTGTTGTTGGGAAAGCAGTTCAGGTGGTGCCAAACTACATTAATTCCGCAGTGTAGCTGCGCCCCTGGTTTCCTTTTGCTTCCAAAGAGAAAAGAGTTAAACAAATTGAGTCCCTGCTGATCTCTTCTGTACCACGCAGCAGGTCCTGGCAGGATACCGGCTTTAATGGGGCAATGCAGAGGCTGCCAAGGTCCCTAAAAGGAGAAATCTTCAGGATGGGGAAGGAAAGGGGTGGGGACGTAGAGGAAAGGCATTTTTTTCCCAGCTGAGATTAAATACCAAGTGTTGTACGAAGTGCGGCTAATGTTGGAGCTGGCTCCGTGTCAGCAAGACATTTTCTGAAGCTTCCCCAAAAAAAGGTTTTAGGTGGCAGCTTTCACAAGGAATGGATGCTAAGCAGGCTTTGTGGTTTGGCACAAATGAATCATTCCTGGGTGCATCTACACTGTGGAAAGGAAGCAGTTTGACATCACTTGAACTGCCATGGCTCTGTGCTGATGGAGCAGAGGGATCAAACTTGTGGCCCTCCAGATCGTTGGCACTACAACTCCCAAAAGTCCTTGTTGGTTTGTCCAATGGCCAGGAATTCTGGGAGCTGAAGTCCAAAACAACCTGGAAGGTCATACATTTTCCACCACTGTTATGGAGCTATGGAAGTTGTAGTTTAGTGATGTGCCAGCACTATTTGGCAGAGAAGGGTGAAGAAGGATTCCCTCAGGCAGGAAGCAGCCAGGCTTTGAACCTGCAATGCCATTCAGTGCTAATCAAGGTGGCCAATTACAACATTCACATTTGCCTGAAACAGACAAGAGTTCTTTCTCCCATCCTGGAAATTATTCCACAGATAAACCTCACTTGCCTAGTTTTCAACAAACCTCACAACCTCAGAGGATGCCTGCTATAGATGTGGGTGAAACGTCAAGAGAGAATGCTTCCGGAACATGGCCATACAACCCAGAAAACTCACAGCAACCCAAGGCTGACGGCCTTCTAAAACTACAGCTCTCAAGATTCAATAGCATTGAGCTAAGACATTCAAATTGCATTCTTTCTACCGTGTAGACTTAGCTTTAGTGAAGAAATATACAGCACAGCCCTTGTATCTGCTGTGTCATTTATTCACATCTGACACAAGGCATTTTCTAGATTCTCCAATGTGACTCTTACGGCATCCTTGGGCCAGAAGTCCATCATTTCAATGAAGTTTGCTATTATCTGTGGTTTTGTTCATCCGCATGTAATAAAATATACCCTCTCTAGGCATTGTCTAGGTCTCCCAGCACAACTTTCTGGTATTCTTGGATATGAAGTCCTTTGATGTTATCCATAGTTTTGCATATTCATGTGTCTCCCAGGAATACGTGGGTTGTGCCATATCCACAATTTACATATGTAGACGTCCATAAGCATGACCCCCATTACTTGCTCATCTTCTGTGGATTCCTATCTGACTTCTCCTCCTCTTCTTAGCACTTGCCATGGAAATGGCCAATGGGTCTGCGAAGACCACGCTTGCCTCATCAACGGAGACATGATGGATGCCGTCAACAGAGGAAATTATGGGTAAGGATGCAGACCTCTTGATATGGCTTGTTTTGGCAGAGCGAAGACATGCAAAAAGAGATTTAAGATTGGGTGAAAATGTAACTTATTCCATCCCATTTTCTGAGCTGAATATGAAAGGGAATGGGAGCTCATCTTGTTATATGTACCCAGCATTTGAGCCAAGATATATTTCTGCTTGGAATAGATTAGTAAATGGCATTTGATAACCCCACTCCTTCCCTCCGGCAGTCACCCCAGTTATATTGAGACATAAAACAGAAACTTTTGATCCTGGTATCTTATCTCCCTGTAGTAAAACTATTGCCAGCCAATGATTTCCAGTTTCCAAGAAGCAATAAATATCTTTTGGATTTTAGTCTACATTATAATAAATTCTCTGATTCAGGAGCCCAGGGTTCAAATTCTCATTCAGTCATGGAAACTCAGTGGGTGATTTTGGTTAAGTCACACTCTCTCAGCCTCAGAGGAAGGCGATGGGAAACCTCCTCAAAAGACATCTAGCCAAGCCTGGATCTACACTGGCATAAAATACATTACATGGTCAGTGTAAACCCATATGATGCAGTTCAATGCAACTAAACTATATTATATTGAGACTCGTGCACCAACTGCAACCGTACCTCGGGAAGGTGGATCTGGCCAAGGTGGTCCACGCCTTAGTCACCTCTAGACTGGATTACTGCAATGCACTCTACGTGGGGCTGCCCTTGAAAACGGCCCGGAAATTTCAGATGATCCAACGGGCGGCAGCCAGGTTGTTAACTGGGGCTCCTTACAGGGAGCGGTCAACCCTCCTGTTCAAGGAGCTCCACTGGCTGCCATTCATTTACCGGACCCAATTCAAGGTGCAGGTTCTTACACCTACAAAGCCCTGGTTTGGGACCCGCCTACCTGCGTGACCACACTTCTGTTCACGAACCCACACGATCCCTTGGATCATCTGGAGAGGTCCTGCTCGATCCCACCAGCATCACAGGCACGGTTGGCGGGGACGAGAGAGAGGGCCTTTTCGGTGGTGGCCCCTCGACTCTGGAACTCACTCCCTAAAGGCATCAGACAGGCCCCAACCTTGGCAGTCTTTAGGAGGTACTTGAAGACGTGGCTGTTCCAGTGTGCCTTCCTGGAATAATGATCCCATAGCACTTTGTCCTCCAAAGCACTTTACACTTTTTAGATCTGCTCGTATGCCCTTCCACAAACACCACTATCACCTTTCGTCCATGTCCTAGCATTATTTCCATTTTAACTTTACATTTGGCCTCCCCACTGTTTTTAATTGCGTGTTGTCTTATTGATAATGTTGTATATTTTATTGTCTATGTTTTATTTTAATTGCTTGTACTGTTGTTGTTTTGCTTGTATTGTTGTATTCGGCCTCGGCCTCATGTAAGCCGCACCGAGTCCCTTGGGGAGATGGTAGCGGGGTAGAAATAAAGTATTATTATTATTATTATTATTATTATTATTATTATTATATGGGTCTACACTGATCATATAGTGCAAATTCCACTATGTAACACAGCTTTTGTTCCAGGCTTATAAATGTCAATCCTAAATGATTCTATCATTTAAAAATGTAAAAAGTCTATTAAACTGTCAAAATTTTGTTTGTGTGGGTAGGGCATCCTGCAGCACATTTTGCTAGAGTGTAACACTCTAGATACTAAATATCTCATAGAGCAGCGTTTCTCAACCTGGGGATCGGGACCCCCAAGAGGGTTCACAAGGAGGTGTCATAGGGGTTGCCAAAGATGACCAGAAAACACAGTATTTTCTGTTGGTAATGGGGACTCTATGTGGGAAATTTGGCCCAATTCTGTCATTGGTGAGATTCAGAATGCTCTTTGATTGTAGGTGAACTATAAATCCCAGTAACGACAACTCCCAAATGTCAAGATCTATTTTCCCCAAACTCCATCAGTGTTCACACTGGGTATATTGAGTATCCCTGCCAAGTTTGGTCTTGATCCATCAGTGCTCTCTGAAAGTAGGTGAACTACAACTCCAGAACTCAAGGTCAATGCCCATCAAACCTTTCCAGTATTTTCTGTTGGTCATGGGAATCCTGTGTGCCAAGTTTGACCCAATTCCATTGTTGGTGGAGTTCAGAACGCTCTTTGATTGTAGGTGAACTATAAATCCCAGCAACTATAAATCCCAAATGACAAAATCAATCTCCTTTAACCCCACCAGTTTTCAAATTTGGGTGTATCAGGTATTTGTGCCAAATCTGGCGCAGTGAATGAAAATACATCTTGCATATCAAATATTACATTACGATTATCAGTATCAAAATTACAGTTATGAAGTAGCAACGAAAATAATTTTATGGTTGGTCATCACAACATTAGGAACTGTGTTAAGGGGTCGCAGCATTAGGAAGGTTGGGAAACACTGTCATAGAGTCTCAACCAATTCAACATAGTTTGTGGCAGCCACAAATGCAAAGTTTCTGGAGTAGAACACCTTCCAAAGTGAGGAATGCACAATTAAACAGGAAATAACACTTTCAAAACAGGGACAGATTTTTCCCCCCAAATTTTATTACATAGTGTTATATGGCAGTGTAGATCCAGCTTAAGAAAATCTTTTGCCTTGGGGTTGCCCATAGGTTGATAATGACTTGAAGGCACACAACAACCAAGCTAGAGGAACCAAGTCCTTAAGTCTATGGGGTAGAATCATCAACATGCCTTAGAACAGTGGTTCTCAACCTGGGGTCCCCAGATGTTTTTGGCCTACAATTTACTAGCTGTTAGGATTTCTGGGAGTTGAAGGCCAAAAACATCTGGGGACCCCAGGTTGAGAACCACTGCCTTAGAAGAAAGCAATAGAAACCTTGCCAAGGGAATCATAGGGTAAGGTTGTTCTAGGTTGGGGTCAACTTCAAAATGCATAACAATGAGGAATATGTTTTCTTGGCTAAGCAGAGTTCTCCTCTCAGTGGTTTCTTTTGCACCTTTCTTTAGCTGGAGAGCCTCCAACTATAGTCAGTTCTGGGGCATGACGCTGGATGAAGGCATCCAATATCGCCTTGGTACCATCAAGCCTCCCACCTCTGTCATGAATATGAATGAGCTCCAGGTAAGTTCCTCCAGAATTTGAATCCCTCCCAAGCTCAAGATAATCATTCTCAAAGGTTCATCTTCATCCAAACATGGTCAACCTTATCCAAACATGCACAATATTGCAATTCTATTGCAATGTGACAATGTATCACTATATGTGGATGGTTATGCTGCATTTTAATTAATAATAATAATTAATACTAATTAATTATTATATTGAGACATGAAACAGAAACTTTCAATCCTGGTATCTTATCTCCCTGTAGTAAAACTATTGCCAGCCGATGATTTCCAGTTTCCAAGAAGCAATAAATAATATAAAATAATTAATAATAATATTAATAATAATAATAGTAAAGGTAAGGGCTGTCCCCTGACATTAAGTCCAGTCATGTCTGACTCTGGGGTGTGGTGCTCATTTCCATTTCTAAGCCGAAGAGCCGGCATTGTCCATAGACACCTCCAAGGTCATGTGGCTGGCATGACTACATGGAGCGCTGTTACCTTCCCACCGGAGCAGTACCTATTGATCTACTCGCATTTGCATGTTTTCAAACTGCTAGGCTGGCAGAAGTTAGGGCTGACAGCGAAAGCTCACACCGCTCCCTGTGTGAGCGGTGTGAATCGAACCTGCGACCTTTCGGTCAACAAGCTCAGCAGCTCAGCACTTTAACCCACTGCACCACTGGGGGCTCCAATAATAATAATAACTTTATTTTTATAGCCTGCCTCCAGCTCCCCAAGGGGATTTGGGGCATCTTACAAAGGGACAAGCCCAGAGAGCGCAGAGTTAAAATGTAATGCAATAAAATAAAAACCAAACCAAATAGAAACAGTTGTGTTGAACATAAGAGCAGAGCTTGGAAAGGTTGTTATTTTAGGCAGTCCTTCCACCCTCCACATCCATGGATTCTGCATCCAACCTTCCATGATTTTGGCGTTTTCAAGTTGCACATTGTGCATTACTTGTTACGACTGAGCATCCTATACTTTATGTTTGTGAATCCTGTACTTGGCATTGTCGTTGCACATCTTGTACTTTGCATTGCAGATGCCCATTCCGTATTGCTCATTGTGAAATGGCACCTGAGCATTGATATTTGTTGCACAATATTGCAAGTCTATAAGACAATGTGGATGTTTATGCTGCATTAAAGGTGGTCCTGTGGCATGGGCTAGAAACTGGACATAACAATGAAAGTTGGGATTCTCAGGGAAATTCTGGTACCACTTTCTGGACTGATTCTGATCCTTTGAAATTATTTATAGAATAACATACACACAAACATAGAAACACACGGGCCCTTTCCTCATTTGAAAAGCTGACTATCTCCATATGTTATATGGAGAGGTTGCTTGCACTTTTGGGGAGGAGAGACACATGGCTTTCCTATAAGAGGAGACATGGCTGTGTGGACTTTTGCAAGCAATTGTCAACTCAGCAGCTTCCAGGGTTTCAGTCCCTGGGGCCTGGGTGAAAGTAGTGAGGAACACATCCTTTCTCTCTTTCTCTTTTTGTCCCTGTTGTTTTTTCCCCTCTGCTGGGACTGTCACAGGACTTCAGCGGTGTCAGCAGAAGCAGATCCCTGTTGTAAAGTCCGAGCATGAGCTGGGATGTCATCTGCCCCCTCCAAAGCCAAAGGCCCCATGTAAAGCAAACACAAGGTCAAAGGCAACTGGCGGCTGACATTTCAAAGGAAGCAAGCCAAGAGGAGCCCAGACCTTCTGTCCCCATTTTAGAACAAGGAAAAGGAAGTGGCTGGATCGGGCATCCATACACTGAGAAAAGTGGCCTTGTCTTGTCAGGTTGGGCAAGAAGGGCTGTCAGGCAGCGGAAGAGGACTCTAGTTCCTTTCAAACTGGAGCTATTGTTGGAGAGATTGCTTTGGTTTTGCTTCCTGGGCTGCTTGGAGCTCAAGGTTTTGTAAACTGGGAAAGGAAGGTGCAGAAAAAAAGCTAGAGGCTTTGTCAGGCTTCCATTTGAGTGGAGCTGGGAATCCAGCCTGGGTTTTGGTCTGAACTTCTAAGGTGCTAAAACTAGTTTGGAACTAGGATTCAGAACTTTGGATAGCAGTGAAAGATTGGGATCAAGCCTTTGGAGAATAATTGTAGTGCAATAGATGGTTACAGAATATGTGCAATGACTACTGGCAAGGCCCAGATCACAATTGTGAATGGTGTGGTTTTAATAGTGGATGTAATGTTTTTAAATGTTTTAATGTGTATGAATTAAATGGAGAACAAGCCCTATGATGAGCAGCTTAGAGAGCTGGGCAAGTTTAGCCTGCAAAAGAGAAGGCTGAGAGGAGACATGATGAGGGGCATGGATAAAAAGGTGAGAGGAAGTCATAGGGAGGAGGGAACAGGCTTGTTTTCTGGTGCCCTGGAACCCAGAACATGGAAGAATGGCTTCAAACTACAGGAAAGGAGATTACACCTGAACATTAAGAAGCTCTGAGTCCCCTTGTAGGGAGAAGGGTGGGATAGAAATGTATGAAATAAATAAATAAATAAGAACTGTGAGAGCTGTTCAACAGTGGAACTCTCTGCCCCAGAGTGTGGTGGATGCTCCTTCTCCTGCTTTGAATATGGTTTTCCTGCTTCTTGGCAGAATGGGGTTGGACTGGATGGTCCATGAGGTCTTGTTCAACTCAATGATTCTATGAAACTATGAATTTTAATATAATTTAAATGTTTGTTTTAATTGTATATTGTTAGTAAGGCACTGAATAGTTGCCTATGTGTAAAGCGGCCTTGAGTCCCCTTCTTGGTTGAGAAGGGCTGTGTATAAATATGGTAAATAAATAAATATAGAAATGTATGAAATAAATAAATAAATAAGAACTGTGAGAGCTGTTCAACAGTGGAACTCTCTGCCCCAGAGTGTGGTGGATGCTCCTTCTCCTGCTTTGAATATGGTTTTCCTGCTTCTTGGCAGAATGGGGTTGGACTGGATGGTCCATGAGGTCTTGTTCAACTCAATGATTCTATGAAACTATGAATTTTAATATAATTTAAATGTTTGTTTTAATTGTATATTGTTAGTAAGGCATTGAATAGTTGCCTATGTGTAAAGCGGCCTTGAGTCCCCTTCTTGGTTGAGAAGGGCTGTGTATAAATATGGTAAATAAATAAATATTTCTTTGTCATGGCATGTAATTTTCTACCTCTCCATATCAAGAATGCAATACAGTTTTAAAGCCAGATGGAGCTTCTTCATTTTTGTGTGTCCTTGCATGGACTGGACTGGATGGCCCTTGGAGCCTCTTCCAACTCTGGTACTATGATTCTATGAAATGTTTCATCTAGTCTGACTGCAAGGAAACAAACAAACAGCCCACCGGTTCTGATTCTTGGTTCTAGCTTTCTTTGGAGTCTTGGCATTTGTGTGTGCGTGCTCTTTGATTGACTGGCTTCTTTTCCCATGTCCTTTGCTTTCTGTAGATGAACATGGATGAGAATGATGTGCTGCCTTCGTATTTCAATGCTGCTGACAAATGGTCTGGGATGATCCACGAACCACTGGACCAGGGCAACTGTGCCGGATCGTGGGCCTTTTCTACTGCAGGTAGCTAACATCACAAGCAGAAGGAATGCATTGCTATAGGATAGGAAGAGGTTGCCTTCCTTCCTTTATGTGTTCAGGAATTTCCTAACAATTCATTTAGTCGGTTTAGGCCAGGAATATGAACACTGGATGGCAACCACCCTTTAAGGGGCTGCAGGTGTGTGCGTATGTGAAGAGCAATGGATGACACTATCCAAAGAGGTGACATCCAAAGGACTGTATATAAAATGTAGGAATATAGCATTTTAAAGCATATATTTCCATGGACAAATGGGGGATTTGAACCCCAGTCACCAAAATGCTAGTCCAACCCAATCATATTGACTCTCCTAAAATTGATATAAACTTTGCAAGTGCCCTATAGACATGGTGGATTATGTGTCAGTGGGGCAGTGAATCTGCACCCGGTTATGGAGAGCTACCCAGGTGCTGAATACGATGGTTAAACATCTGGGATAACTCTTTTCAACTGATCTCAGGCCAAATGTTCTGCCCCAGCTTACTTGTCAGAATGTATCTCCCTCTATGATCCAACTCCGAGATTAAGATCTTCTGGGAAGACTCTGCTCTCGGTCCCACCTCCTTCACAAGTGTGACTGGTGGTGATGAGAGACAGGGCCTTCTGAGTGGTGGCCCCTTGGCTATGAAACTCCCTCCATAGTGAAATTAGAGAAGCCCCCTCCCTCCTGACCTTCAGGAAGAAAGTAAAAATGTGGTTGTATAACCAAGCTTTTGGATAGCAAGTTTTTAAATGAAACATTTAAACGGACCAATAGAACTGCTTCAGAATATGATTCTGGTTGGGGTGATTTTAATAACTGGTTTTAAATTGCATTGTTTTAATGATCGGTTTTAATGTAAATGCTTATTGTATTGTATTTTTACATTTTGGCATCAGATTGCTACCTAATTTGTAACGCCGCTCCGAGTCTCCTTCAAGTCAGAGAAGGGTGGGATATAAATGAAGCAAACAAACAAACGTGGAAAGGGCTCAGCAACCCACTGAATGCCCAGTTCTCACTGAGAGTAAGGGCGGTTCCAGACAGCCCTTTATCCCAAAAGCATCCACGTTAAAAAAAATGGATGTTTTTTGGGGGGCTGTCCGCACCCACCCCAGAAAGTGCATGCAAATGTGGGGAGGCCCTTCCCCCCTCCCCCCAAGCCCCAGACCCCTTAGAAAACTAAGAAAAACTTACGTAGCCTCCATGAGAAGCCCCGGCGGACTCTCCCGGCTCATACAAATGACACACCAGGAGAGCGAGGTGGGGAGTGAGAGCCCACCGGGGCTTCTAATGGAGGCTACGTAAGTTTTTCTTAGTTTTCAAAGGGGTCTGGGGGCTTGGAGGGAGGGTGTGGGTATTCCCACAGTTTACTGGGCTTATTTAGCCTGGTAAACTGTGGGAATGGTATTTGGACTGTAGTCTAGACACCAGAAATAGTGCCAAGAAGGTGTGGAATAAATGCACTAATTAATTTGACACAAACCAGGGTTTTCTTGGTTTGTGCTGAATTAATTGCGGCTTGGCCAGAATGATGTCTGGACAGATCCCCTTTCGTTGCAGAAGTTTCCGCAATAAAGGGGCTGTCTGGATGGGCCCTAAGATACCAGAAAGTGAAATTATCATTAGCGTTGGCTTGCCACGCGCTTAACCGCTTCTGTCATTTCCTCCCCAGCGGTAGCCTCCGACCGAATCTCCATCCATTCCATGGGGCACATGACGCCCGCCTTATCTCCGCAGAATCTTCTTTCATGCAACACTCGTCACCAGCAAGGCTGCAATGGCGGGCGCATTGATGGAGCCTGGTGGTTCTTGCGCCGGAGAGGGTGAGTTGACACGCACAAAAAGTCTTGATTGAATGGAATCATCACTTGGCCAAAATGTGTGAAACGGGACAGGTCCGATCAGAATTGTATTAGTAGTGATGACTCTCCACATTTTTCAGTGTAACTTTGGCAGATTTCATTATTCATAGGTTTGATTCATACTGGCTCCTCCAGCATGACTCGGGGACCTAAAGATTCCTAGAGTGCATAACACTATGTAACATGACTTTTGTTCCTGGGTTTTAAATTCCATTTCCTAATTGATTCTATTATTAAGAAATATGGAAAAAGTTGATTAAACTGAAGGGAGAGTCATCCTGCAGCACATTTTGTTCTAGTTTTTCAATGAATATCTCATAATAAGAGTCCAACCAATTCAACATAGTTTGTGACAGCCACAAAAACAAGGTTTCTTTAGTGTAACAACTAATTTCAAAGTAAGTCCTGCACAATTAAACAGGAAATAACACTTTCAAACCAGGAACAGACTTCCCCCTAATTTTTGTTACATAGTGTAATTTGTCTAGGTGCTTGCAGGTCCTCCAATGTGATTCTGTGTTCAACTCCTACTTGCAATAACATTGAGAGATGAGAAGAAGTGAGTCATAGATATTGGAACGTGTGGGTTTTAAAAAAAGGATTCGGAATTCAAGACTTAGGGACAAACTAGATATTATATTAATTAAACATTTGCTACCTTTGTCTAGTTTTACTTGTAAATAGGGGGATAATCTAAAGCAGTGGTTCTTAACCTGTGGGGCGTGGACCACCAGTGGGCTGTGAGGACAAAAATCTGGTCTGCGAGCCACCTTCCTCTTTATTTAATTATTTAATATTTATTTTATTTCTGCTTCTTTCATGCTGCCTGCCACTCCTTACCTGTCGTTGACCATGGCATATGTTCTGTATCAGAAACTAGAGCTATCCAATGCAATTTTATGAATCAGCATCCCAAATCGAATCTAAAGTTGACCAAAAACTGATTCATAACTCTTTTGGTACTAATGCTGGAGAGTGGTCCCTGGTCAAAGTGATCTGTGGTCAAGTGGTCCCTGGTCAAAGTGTTCCCTGATCAAGTGGTCTGTGGTCAAGTAGTCACTGGTCAAAGTGGTCCCTGGTCAAGTGGTCTGTGGACAAGTGGTCCATGGTCAAGGAGTCCCTGGTCAAAATGGTCCCTGGTCAAAGTGGTCCCTGGTCAAAGTGTTCCCTGGTCAAGTGGTCTCTGATCAAGTGGTCCCTGGTAAAGTGGTCCATGGTCAAAGCGGTCCCTGGTCAAAGTGGTCCCTGGTCAAGTGTTCCATGGTCAAGTGGTCCGTGGTGAACTACCCCCTTGTCAAAGTGGTCTCTGGTCAAAGTGGTCCCTGGTCAAGTGTTCCATGGTCAAAGTGGTCTGTGGTCAAGTGGTCCCTGGTCAAAAAAGGTTGGGAACCCCTGATCTAAACAGATAGCATGACTCACAACATCGTTTTCTTGTAATCATTTTTGTCCAACTTCACTCCTGTTCCACCCGCAACCCCCCAAATAAAACTGTTCATCTCTAAAGCTTCTGCTTTAGTTGCTGTGTGCCTTCAAATCATTTCTGATTTATGGCATCTCAAAGATAAACCATAGGGTTTTTATTTGGCAAGACTTGTTCAGAAAGAGTTTTCCTTTGCTTCCATCCGAGAGCTTAGTGACTTACCTAAGGTCACCAATTGATTTCCATGGACAAGTGGGGACCTGAATCCCAGTCACCAGAATCCTAGTCTGACAAAACCACACTGGCTCTTAAATTTTCCATTAGTATGGAAACAAAAAGCAAAGATAAAAGTTACCAAACTTCAGAGGAAGGCAAATGAAATCTACCTCTGAACAAATATTGCCAAGAAAATTCCATGGTTTGGCTTTGGCTGTTGTGCCCCCCCCCCAGGTTTATAATATGTATTGTGCCCCCCCCCCAATTGCATCCAGTGCCAGACTGTACATTTAGCAATAGCTTCATATATAAATGGGGCTCTGGGAAATGAGCAAGTAAATTGCCAAGTGGCAAAATGACTTCTTCGAAAAATAACAATTTTCTGTTCTCCTCTCTCCTTCTCCTTTGACCTTCCAGGGTGGTGACGGATGAATGCTACCCTTTCAGTAACCAGGAAACCAACAATTCTCCTAATGCGCCCGCTTGCATGATGCACAGCCGGTCCACAGGTCGGGGAAAGAGGCAGGCCACTGCCCGATGCCCCAATCCGCGATCCCATTCCAATGAGATCTACCAGTCCAGTCCTGCATATCGCCTCTCCTCGAACGTGAGTTCAAAATACACTTTGCATCTCTTTCCCTCTCTCCCTCCCTCCCTCTCTCCTATCTAGCATACACTTTGCAAATATCTATCTATCTATCTATCTATCTATCTATCTATCTAATGTATCTACTTAATGTATGTCACACACTTTGCATCTCTCTCTCTATCCATCTGTCTCTCTCTCTATCATCTATCTATCTATCGTATTTACTAGGGCTGGGCGGTTTCGTTTCGTTAATTCGTAATTCGTTAATAATTCGTTAATTTTTTCAATTACAAAACGATAACGAACCATTCTGGAGCAATTATTAAAAAAAAACGAATTTTCAAAAACGTTTTGTAAATGCTTCGTATTTCGATATTGTATTCGTTTCGTTATTGTTTTGAGGTCGTTTCGTTATTATTTCCGCATGTCTGGGCCAGTTTTATGGTTTAATTAGTGAAAAAAAATTATAATATCACACCAACAGTCAACAACAGAGGGAGAGGGAAGCTTCAGAAGGTTTTGGAGGTTTTTTAGCGTATTTCGCGGTCGCGTCCGCCATTAACGAATCGATTCGTTATTGTTTCGGAAATCGATTCGTTCATTTTTTACCATTTACGAAATTTCGTAAATATCGAACTTTTTAAAAGGAAAATTTTGTAATTATTTTAAATATCGAAACAAAAAACCCCCAAATACAAATCGATTTTAGAAACAAATTTTTCCGTTGTTACCCAGGCCTAGTATTTACCTAAAGTATGTCATACACTTTGCATATCTATCTATCCATCTATCTCTATCTATCTAGCATATACTTTACAAATCTATGTATCTATTGATCAAACATTGTGCAGTCTACCGTATCTACGTAATATATCTATAAAATACTTTGCAATCTATATGTCTGTTTGCCTGCCTGCCTGCCTGTCTATCTATCCTCTATCGTATCTATCTAATGTATCTAATAGATACATTAGATAGATACGATAGAGCAGGGGTAGGGAACCTTTGGCCCTCCAGCTGTGGTGGACTTCAACTCCCACAATTCCTTGAGGCTCGGCATTGGGCCAAGGTAAGCCTTTGGGGCGAATGCCGAGCCTCAAGGAATTGTGGGAGTTGAAGTCCACCACAGCTGGAGGGCCAAAGGTTCCCTACCCCTGCGATAGAGGATAGATAGATACTATCTATCATACACTTTGCAAATCTATCTGTCTACATTATTTATCCATCCATCCATCTAATGCAGGGGTCCTCAAACTAAGGTCCAGGGGCCAGATACGGCCCTCTAAGGTCATTTACCCGGCCCTCACTCAGGGTCAACCTAAGTTTGAAATGACTTGGAAGCAAACAACAACAACAATCCTATCTCATTAGCCAAAAGCAGGCCCACACTTCCCATTGAAATACCAATAAGTTTATATTTGTTAAAATTGTTCTTCATTTTAATTATTGTATTGTTTTAAAGTGTTTTTTTTTTCACTACAAATAAGATATGTGCAGTGTTCATAGGAATTCATTCATATTTTTTTTCAAATTATAATCCGGCCCTCCAATAATTTGTGGGACTGTGACCTGGCCCTGTGTTTAAAAAGTTTGAGGACCCCTGATCTAATGTATGTGTCATGCACTTTGCAAATCTATTTATCTGTCTATCCATCAATGGGTAGCTGTGTTGAACATGCAGCAAAATAAACCAAAATAATTTTTTTATTTATTTATTTAAAAGTTTTATATACCGGCCTTCTCACCTCTCTTGAGGGACTCAGACTGGTTTCCAACCATAATATCACATACAGTTAACAAAACATAATAATTCATTTTACACTAAAACATTAAAACAGCAATTACATTCAATAACTACAATGGTCAGTCGTCACACTAACTCGTTGTTCATCATCCTCCATCCATATCTGGCTCACTCGTCGAATGCTTGTCTCCATAACCAAGTCTTCACCTGTTTCCTAAATGTCAGGATAGACAGGGCAGTTCTGATCTCCAGTGGAAGAGAGTTCCAGAGTCGAGGGGCCACCACCGAGAAGGCCCTGTCCCTCGTCCCCACCAGATGCACTTGCGAGGCCGGTGGGACCGAGAGCAGGGCCTCTCCAGACGATCTTAATAATCTTGATGATTCATAGGGCAGAATACGTTCGGAGAGGTAAAGAGGGCCAGAGTCGTTTAGGGCTTTATAGGTTAACACCAGCACTTTGAATTGTGCTCGGAAGCTAATTGGCAGCCAGTGGAGCTGGTGTAACAGCGGAGTGGTGTGCTCCCTGTACCCAGCACCCGTTAGTAGTCTGGCTGACGAGCGTTGTACTAGCTGCAGCTTCCGGGCAGTCTTCAGAGGCAACCCCACGTAGAGAGCGTTGCAGTAGTCTAAACGGGATGTAACCAAAGCGTGGACCACCGTGGCCAAGTCAGACTTCCCATCCATACACATCCTGGTGATACAATTTGAATATCTTTTATCTGGAATTCCATACTCCAAAATTGTACACACTTTTGCTTCATGCAAAAATATATTTTAAATATTATGTATAAAATGAACAGAATTCTGAAAACCAAAGTACTCTAAAATCCCAAACTATCCACATGGATGGCTGAGATAGTGATACCTTTGCTTCATGCACATTTTTTTAAAAATATTGTGTCTTCTGCTCTAGAAGAAAGGAAAAGTGACCAATCCCACCTTGTGTTGTTTTTAAACTCTTGACTTTGGTTTGCAGGAGAAGGAAATCATGAAAGAGTTGATGGAGAATGGGCCAGTGCAAGGTGAGCAAGATGGAGGGGAATCTCATTTCACTTTTTCAGATTTAAAAATAAAAATACCCCCTCCCCCACAAAATTTTCTATGGGTGAAATGTTTCTGTTGTTCCCATCATCTCTCATGCAGCGATACTGGAAGTGCATGAAGACTTCTTCATGTACAGAACTGGCATTTATCGGCACACTGCAGTAGCAGCCGGGAAGCCCGAAAACTACCGACGACATGGCACCCATTCTGTCAAAATCACAGGGTAAGAGAGTTTTATTAGCCTAGAGTGTCTGGTGTTCATTGGCAATCTCCTATCCACTTACTAACCAGGGCTGACCCTTCTTATCTTCCAAGTACAGAGGGCATCTGGTGCCTTTGGTGTATTTAGGCTGGTCCAAGCAGTAGTGCAGCTGTAGGACAAATGAGAGATTGTCCACTCAAAGAGATTTCTGCCGTCTCAATTACATTTTTCCTTTCATCTCCAAATTTCTGACATGAATGAGACACTGAAAACCTGCCTAGAAGCCTTCTACTTACAATGCTCTCATCCCCTAATTTGTTTTGGCTACCCTTTTCCTTCGGAGGGGACACCTCCACTGTTGGATTAATGCAGTTTGACCTCATTTTAACTGCTGTGGAATCATGAGACTTTCAGTTTGGGGAGGCAACAGCACTCTTTGGCAGAGAAGGCTAAGGATCTTGTCAAACTCCAACCCTCAGGATCCCATAAGTAAAGGTAAAGGTTTCCACTTAACATTAAGTCTAGTCATATCCGACTCTGGGGGTGGTGCTCATCTCCATTTCTAAGCTGAAGAGCTGGCATTGTCCACAAATGCCTCCAAGGTCATGTGGCCAGCATGATTGTATGGAGCACCATTACCTTCCTGCCAAAGCGGTACCTATTGATCTACTCCTATTTGCATGTTTTCAAATGGCTAGGTTGACAGAAGCTAGGGCTAACAGTGCATCGAGCTATGCCAGTTAAAGTGGTAGATCTGCGGTGGCGCAATGAGTTAAACCCTTGCGCTGGTTAAACTGCTGACCTGAAGACCTGAAGGTTGGCAGTTTGAATTCATGAGATGGGGTGAGCTCCTGTCTGTCAGCCCCAGCTTCCCATGTGGGGACACGAGAGAAGCCTCCCACAGGATGGTAACACATCCGGGCATCCCCTGGACAATGTCCTTGCAGACAGCCAATTCTCTCACACCAGAGGAGACTTGCAGTATATTCTTGGGTCGCTTCTGACATGATAAAAAAAGTTAAAGTGGTGTCAGACTGTTTTATTTCGACAGTGTAGATGCAACCTTGGACTCTTTTTCTATCGCTGATTATTTTTGAAGCTATTTCTCAGTGGGATGCTGAGAGGGACATTGCACAAAATGTCAACAGAGGACATTGCCCTGTAGGCTTGGACTCGATGCAGCAATGAGTTCAAATGACAGGAAAGGAGATTCCACCTGAACATTAGGAATAACCTCCCGACCATATGAAGAAGAGCTATTCAGCAGTGGAACTCTCTGCCTCAGAGTGTGGTGGAGGTTCCTTCTTTGAAGGCATTTAAACAGAGGCTGGATGGCCATCTGTCGGGGATATTTTGATTGTCCTTTTCTTGCATGGCAGAATGGGGTTGGATTGGGTGGCCCATGTGATCTCTTCCCGCTCCATATTCTATGATTCTAGGAAAATGGGGGCAGAATTATTTTGGTGGATACAATGCTTTCACTTTGCTCTGCTCCTTATCCATGTCTGTGGTCCTACAAGGAAAGGCTTCCCCCTCTCCTTCCCACTTCCCCATGCTTTGCTTTGCCTTGTGGGCACCAGCTGGGCAGACGTTGAGCGGTGTTTGATGCTTGCCAGCTCACTTGCTGCTTGAGGAATGCGGAACAAATGCTGCCAAATGAGGCCCCTCAGCAGGGAGACCAGAGGCTCCGGGAACAAACCTGATAAGGCCGGTCTCCTTGGGGGAGGCGTAAACGCTCCCTTCTGATGTCAAAGACCCGCCATCCAGCAACAAAGTCATTCTTTGGGGTCATTTGAACACAGCTGGAGGTTCCGGAGAACAGTCCCCATATTGGTCAGCGGTTGTCCTTAAACACCTGCAAGACGCAAATATTTTGCAAATGCAAGGTGGACACACTATTCCGTTTCCGCAGAATTGAGGCATTTTACGATAACTTGCCAGTTCAAACCAATCAGGGATGGCAGACGTTTTGTATGCACACAGCAGGTGTCTGATGCAATGCATCCCAGACCGTGAAAACTCTTTTCAGAACGTTCCCAAACTTTTAAAGCACTTTTTGATTAAGTAATTGGATGACCAGAGGTTGGAAAGGTTACATATTTGGAAAACAGCTCACAGAACCTCCCGTGGCTCTTTAAACCTCTTGCTATGAGGACTGCGATGTTTCATAAGCATAGGCAGGGAAATTATTTTGCAACCACCGAGTTGGAAATTACTACCAAACTCTACAGAGAGGATCTTGGGGTTAAGGCTTGAAATCCTATTTTGGACTAGAATCCCAGAATCTGACAGTTTGTGGCCATTCTAGAGGCAAGATTTTGGTAAAATTTAATTATCAGACTGATTCAACTTTTTCCAAGTTCTGGATAGAATTCTAGATGCTCATGGTGGTATTTTCCCAGACTGACCCACTGAGGAGTTCATCATTATTTGTTAATTCTCATTAAGCTGACATTGATTAATGGTAATCCTATGAACATTAGACTTCCAATAAGTCCTGGTTAACATCTTATAGGAATTTAATGCTGTCTAAATGAAATTTATGTAACCCTTATCCATAATGCTTTGGATCAGAGGTGTTTTGGATCTTGAATATTTTTGGATTTTAGAATACTTGCATATAAATAATGAGATATCTGGGTAATGGGATCCAAGTCTAAACATAAAATCCATGTATGGTTCATAGACACTTTGTATACATAACCTTAGGATAGTAAAGGTAAAGGTTTCCCCTTGACATTAAGTCTAGTCGTGTCCGACTCTGAGGGGTGCTGCTCATCTCCATTTCTAAGCCAAAGAGCCAGTGTTGTCCATAGACACATCCACAGTTATGTGGCTGGCATGACTGCATGGAGCGCCATTACCTTCCCGCCAGAGCAGTACCTATTCATCTATTCATACTAGCATATTTTCAAACTCCTAGGTTGGCAGAAGCTGAGGCTAACAGCAGAAACTCACTCCGCTCCCTGGGATTTGAACCGCCAACCTTTTGGTCAGCAAATTCAGCAGCTCAGTAGTTTAACCCGCTGCGCCACCAGGGGGCCCTTTGAGGTCCCTTATGACACTATACCTATTGATCTACTCACATTTGCATGTTTTCGAACTGCTAGGTTGGCAGAAGCTGGGCCTAACAGCGGGAGCTCACCGCTCCCCTGATTTGAACTGCCAACCTTTTGGTCAGAAAATTCAGTAGCTCAGCGATTTTACCTGCTGCACCATTGGGGGTTCCTCAGTGCCTTAGTCTTAGGATAAATGCATGCATACTTTTGTAATATTGTGTGTATGAAATTCAGTTTGTGTGCACTGAGCCTTCAGAAAGCAAGAGTAACACAATGTAGATATTTTTTGATTTTGGAGTATTTTGGATTTCATAATTCCAAATAAGGAATGTGTCTCCTTTGCTTCATACTCACAATTGTAGCTATAGCAGCATTTCCACAAACACAAGTACTCCAGAAGCTCATCTTAAGAGCCAGTCACTTGTCCTTACCTAGCATTGTCATCTTTTGTAATGATATGACCAAAGAGCCCAGCATATCTGCCTTTTAAAGACAAATGTGGCACACCAGTCTTGGGTCTTTCGGTTGGGTTTTGTGTGACGTCACAAGCTGAAGAATCCATGATGGATGGGGACAAGGGAGGCAAACAGAAGAAGTCTAAACAAAACCTTGGCACCACCAAGGTGACCCCCTGAGCCTCTTTTGCTTCATCTCTCAAAGTGAAAATAAACAGAGCCGTCGCCACAGCAAGGCGCTCCAAACACTCATGAGATGGGCAAAGGCAACTAATTGGAATGAAGGAAAACGCTGACCTCCAAGGGCAAGCCAAGGAGAAAGAAAAGACGAAGGGAATGCATGCTGTATTTTCCATTCCTGAACTGTCTCCTTGAGCTGTCTTTGAAAAGGGCAATGAAAGGCTGGATTCTGAGCTGATCTACTAGGAATGAAATGGGAATCCCCTTTGTGGTTGGCACCAAGATTTGGAGTTTGACCAACAACTTGGCTGATTTCTTCTCCATTTCAGATCACGCAGAGCAAAGTGCACTTTACAGGGATGTAGTCCTGGCCAAGCCACTAGCCCTGATGGTTGTAAAGGGGGGTTAGACATATTTGTGGTTGAGAAAATGTCAGGCAGTATCTCCAATATTTTGTGTCATTTTTGGGGGAGGAAGGTCACCATCTTCCAAAGACACGTCTGCAAGGACGTTGCCCAGGGGATGACTGGATGTTTTGATGTTTTACCATCTTTGTGGGAGGCTGTAAGTTTTTCGGGCTGTATGGCCATGTTCCAGAAGCATACTCTCCTGACGTCTTGTTGTAGGATGCCTGCCATAAATGGAGGCAAAACATCAGGAGAGAATGCTTCTGGAACATGGCCATACAGCCTGAAAAACTTACAGCAACCCAGTGATTCCGGCCATGAAAGCCTTCGACAACACATTCCTAAGACGTAGTCTGGAAAGTTGTTTATTATGCCTGGTATGGCTTTGGAAAGTTTGCTGATGCAGATCTTGATGTTCTTCTAAGTCAATTCTAGTTGGGATAAAAACAGAATTCCTTAGGGGTAGAATCCATATCCCTAGGGATGCAAATCCCTTTAATGCACTCAGAACCCATGTGTCACCCATTTATGTCAGGAATGTATTGCTGTTAACATTTTAGTGAGGACTGAGGATATGTTATCCTGAACCTTCCCCAAAACTAGGACACAATTTTAAAAGAGGTGGGATGGCATCAGAGGTCTCACGCTTGCACTATGTTTTCAAGAAAAATCCTACTTTTCCACCATCAAATTGCCTTTGCTAGGAAGGATCTCTCAGCTAAACTACCCTTTCTATTTTGCAACACAGGTGGGGAGAAGAACAAATGCCAGATGGGTCAAATCAGAAATACTGGGTGAGTACTTACCATTTTTTTTCAAAATCTATTTATTATCATTTATGTTCTGTCTTTCCCCTATCACGATGTCTACATCTTAGTGGTCTTTTATCCACTAGTGGTCTTTAGTGGCTGTCACAACTCCATGTTTTGGGCAGTGGCAAACAAAAAAGTGGCTGGGAAGGAGGAGATGTAACCGGGATCATCTAGGTTCTCTCCCCCATCTGCTAGAAAGGTGTTGTGCAAGGAGGGTCAGGAGACCTCCCTTGACAGCATCCTGAAAAGTGATGTCTATGTTTCAATATAATGGTGTCCAGAACTGAAATACTGTGTCCATTTCTGAGTACCAAAATTTAAGAAGGATATTCACAAGATGGAATGTGCCAAATGGAGGGCAACCAAAATGGTCAAAGGTCTGGTAGCCAAGCCCAATGAGGAATGACTTAAGGAGCTGGGTATGTTCAGTTTTGGAAAACAGAAGATTGAGATAGCCATGTTTAACTATTTTAAATGATGTCACATTGAGGAGGGGCAAGCTTGTTTTGGTGGCTCTAGAGCAGTGGTTTTTAACCTGTGGGTCCCCAGATGTTTTTTCGGGCTATAGAGCCATGTTCTAGAGGCATTTCTCCTGACATTTCCCCTGCATCTATGGCAAGCATCCTCAGAGGTAGTGAGGTCTGTTGGAATTAGGACAATGGGTTTATATATCTGTGGAATGGCTGGGGTGGGGCAAAGAGCTCTTCTCTGCTGGAGCTAGGTGTGAATGTTTCAACTGACCACCTTCATTAGCATTTGAAGGCCTGGCTGAGCCTGGGAAAATCTTTTGTTGAGAGGTGTTAAGATGTGCCTGGTTGTGAAATATGCTGATTGAAAGTCCAGTGGTGTCTCCTTCTGTGGAGGGTTTGACAGAGCCTGAGTGGCCATCTGTCAGTAGTGATCACCTTTTATGCTCCCTGCCTGGCAGAATAGGGTGGAACTGGATGGTCCTTGGGGTCTTTTGCAACTCTAGAATTCTGTTATTTCCTATATAAGTACTGTAAGCCAACTCCTTACCAGTGACAATTTACGGTTCTCAAGTGAGTGGTTTGGTGGAGCTGCTCCAGATTTCAAAGAGCTCTCCAAGGTGCTGAATCTCCAGAACAGCTTCAGTACCTTGGATAATGCCTTCAAGTTTTGCTTTAAGCCCTCAGTTGGGTTCACAAACTTAAAACCCCCAATGATGTCTAATGAATTCTAACTAATGTGTTTCAGGCTTCCATAAACATTAAATTATGATTAACAGTGCCTTCCTTGCCCTTTTGTTTCCCTGGCTTCAGATCGCTGCCAACTCCTGGGGAAAGGACTGGGGCGAGCACGGCTACTTCCGCATCGCCCGTGGTGCTAATGAGTGTGAAATTGAGACTTTTGTGGTGGGCGTCTGGGGCCGGGTCACGATGGAAGACATGCACCACCACAAGAAATGAGAGGGCTGAAGAGGTGGACCCTGCTCCATATGAGGGTCACCAAAGAGAACTTCTTTCCTTCTGTTGCCCCCTGCCTTTTTCTTCTCCAAAGAGGTTTGGGATCTGGATCAGCCATAAGATACCATATGGCCAGCTGTGTCCATCTCTAAAGGGAATGAGGTTTGGTCATCATTTTGAGATCTCTTGTAGGTCATGTCTGTTATTTGTGGCCCTTCCTTAAGTGGTTGAAAGCTTCTTGAGAACTCACAATATGGAAGTTAAGGAGAAAGCTGTGGCAGAAGGAACCACGGGAAGTCATTTGGTTTTGGCCCTACGTCATCCCTCAAGTTATCCCAACACTCAAATCCAATGGGCCACCAAACAATGAACTCAACATTGAGACAAAAACCAAAAACACAATGGCAACACCAAACAAGGGATACCATGTTGATATTTCCCAAAAAGATGGTGATTTGAAGAATGGCAAGGACACATTGCCCTCTCATTTCTGTGGGTTTCCTGTCATTTCTTGCCTTCTTATTGATTAATCATGACAAAGCCATGTTCGACATGTTTGCTCCTCAGACTTGACCTTCTCCCAGAAGTCTTCATAGAGGAGCAACCCCCCTTTAGAGATATGTTCAAAGTTGGCCATTCTTCAACTGTGACTTGGAGGTTTCTCTCTCATGTCAAACTCTGTCATACCTCAGGTAGTTTGGGATCTCTTGCGCATTGCTTTCCCACCATATATGGGTCCCTATGGAGACCACGCAAACCAACCCCACAGTGTATTTCCCTATCTTCTCTCTTGCAAGCACTCCAACATTTTTTATCCCTTGACCACTTTGTATCTCCACTCCGTTATCTCCCATCTTGGCAATTTTCCCTTGTAAGGGGAGGACTACTTTATGCTATGTCTGGATATTATGAGGAACTACTGCAGATTCCATCAAACAAAGGAGAAGACTGCTGTGATTGGAAGGAGGCATGTCAACAACTGCCCAGATGGGCTACAGAGGGGGAAAAAGAGCAAAGCTAAGGGCAATGGGCTACTCTGGATAACACTGTCTAAACCTATACACCTTGCCCCCTATTTGTGACCCCCATATCTACAGGACTAATTCTTATGGTTTCCTTTATCCATTCAAGAAATAGAGATTTGGTGTCCCTTATCCAGAATTCTGAAATCCAGAATTCTCCAACATTCAGGTTAGGTAGATATGTTTATATGAAACATACATGATTTTGGGTCTTCTCTCCAAAATACCTCATTGGATACAAATGCAGATATTCCCAAATCAAAACAAAATATTCAAAATTCTTGGTCCCCAGCATTTTGGAGAAAAGATGTTCAACCTGTATGTCCTCTCCAGACATTTTCTAGGTCCTCCAACGTATCTCCATGGCATTCTTGGACCAGGCATAATTCATTTCAATTATTCATGTATCCATATATAGTCTAGGAATGTATCTCCTATGGATATAGGTGTCATTCTATAACTGTGTGACAAGATTACCTCGAATGATGGAGAATCTTGCTTGCGGGAGGGTTTTCCTTTTTGAAAAATGATTACAAAGTGAATAATTTTTGCTGGACCATTATAGTGAAGGCTGAAGTTTTTGGAGAATGGTATGATAGAGGTCTTGTTTCCTATCATGTGAATAATGCTTACTGAGCTTGTCCATTCCTTCAGTTCTGACTGAATGAGTATAAGCGGGATTTGAAACATAAGACATGGCCCCAAAGGTTCAAAAATCCATCAATGGTGGGAGAGCAAAGCTGTGCATTATGAGAAGCACAGGGTGGATGTCGTAAACAGTCTTGACAGGGTGCATCTACACTGACGAATTAATGCAGTTTGACCCCCCACTTTAATGGCCATGGCTCAATGCTACGGAGTCCTGGGAGTTGTATTTTGGGGAGGTGCCAACAGATGTTTATAACAGTACAACACCTATGATTCCATAGCCTTGAATCCATGTTGGCTAAAGGGGTGTCAATCTGCATTCATTCCACAGTGTAGATGTCCCCTCATTCAGTGGGTCCATGGATGTTTCCCAGCTGCTTGCAATGAAACACATGGTTTTGTGATGTCCAGAAGGAAATGTTGTCACACACATTACCATGTTGGTAACACAGGGGTGAAGTTGTACTTCTTGTTACCAGAAACAGGAACTTAACACAGGGCTCCTGTGATTCTTACATTGTATTGCTTTGCTCAAAGACAATAGCGTTGTGACCTTGCCTTCCAAGGAGAACAATAACTCCATCATACCACCTACAGCTAAATGTATCCAAACTTCCACCTGCTTTGTATCAGATTATATAAGCATTCTCTCCCTATACAACATTGGTTTTTCTGCCTTCCAAAGGAGCCTTTCTCCATCCTATCACGGGTATGTGTATATGAATGGGGAGTTTTCTGGCTTAATTCTCAGTTAGATCTTCAGTTCATGCATCCTTCTTCTCTGTCCTTCGAATCTTTACAAAAATGAGTGCAGCTTTCATTCTTCTTTGTCATTCTCCATATAATATCTGTTACAAATAGATGGAAAGAATATTTGTTTCCCAGGTTGAAAAAAAAACCTCATTTCCTGATAATTGGGAAGCACTGTCAGGAAAAGTAATAGAAGACCAAGAATATTGTATAATTTAGCTCCCATTGTTCAAATGTTCTTTCTCATTGTGGTGGAATGACTTTGCATAGAAAAAACATACTTGGGGGGGGGGGGAGTAAAAGACTCTCCACCCATTTTCTGTTCCAAAAATGAAGGAGTCTCGCTTATCCAACCTTCACATATCCGATATTTTGTCTTATCCAACGCTCTTATCCGACGCGCCCCACCCCCCATTTTACTCCAGGATTTCCCCTTCAATTAAAGGAGTGCTTCCCAACTCTCTCTCTACTCCCAGTAGGTGAAAAAGACAAGACAAGGAGGAGGGAGGAAAGGGGGAGAAGAGACAGGACCAGAAGTGGAAGCATCCTCCCTCCTTCCTTCTGTGATTTCCACGCTCCTCAGACATGTTTTTTTCTTTACAGACTAATTCAACTACAATACTTTAGGACTTTTGGATACAGGGAGAATAGTATACAGGCAGTCCCCAAGTTACAAACAAGATAGGGTGTGTATATAGGTTTGTTCTTAAATTGAATTTGTTTGTAAGTTGGAACAGGTACATTTTTAAGAGTAACTCTATCCATCTATCTATCTATCTATCTATCTATCTATCTATCTATCTATCTATCTATCATCTATATTTGGAGAGCATAGGGAAGGGTTAACACCCCTGTGGTGTTTGCTTTCCTGACTGTGCCCCTTTTCAGACGATTTCACCTCACTTTCTGTTTTGGTGAGAATTGGATTTTTCAAAAATTGGCTTGTTGTGGAAACAAGGATTGGGGATAGAACATCAGTTTCACCTCCTTTCCCCATGATTTTTGTGTGTGTGTGTGTGTGTGCGTCAAGAGTGACTTGAGAAACTGCAAGTCGCTTCTGGTGTGAGAGAATTGGCTGTCTGCAAGGACGTTGCCCAGGGGGTGACTGGATGTTTTGATGTTTTACCATCTTTGTGGGAGACTTCTCTCATGTCCCCGCATGGGGAGCTGGAGCTGACAGAGGGAGCTCATCTGCACTCTCCCTGGATTTGAACCTCTGACCTGTTAGTCTTCAGTCCTGCTGGCACAAGGGTTTAACTCATTGCTCCACCGGGGGCTCCTTTCCCATGATAATAATTCTTTCAGGGGTGAATTTTCTTTCTTTGGGTTAGATTTCTCTCACTTGCTTTTGTCTCACCCTTGTTCTTAACTATGAGTCATTTGTAAGTCATATGTTTGTAACTTGGGGACTGTCTGTAGTCTTCATCCATGTTAGGGACAAAACTATTGTTGTTATATGTCATTGCATACAAGACATTACACAATAGTCAAGATATTACACCCCTGTTTGAAATAGGGTGTTTTGCTGACATGAAGGGATGGATGCGCCAGCCCATACATGATGCGCCCTGAAAGCATTCCGGCCTTCCTCCCTTTGGCTCCATCCCCTCCGTTACTTCCCTCTCTTTCCTTTGGGTTTTCTGTTTAGGATGAGGGGGTCTTTTGGTGCTTTAATCCCTCCCTGGATTAACCAACCCATTGTCCGGAACTCATTGCTGCTGAAAGGGGAGTTTAGCCAGACTTTGGCCGCGTCGGTTTTTGCAAGCTTCACAAGCCTCTGTGCAAACAGTGAGCCGAACCCCATTGATGTGCAAGAAGTGGATACAAAGAGGCGCGTCAGAAGGCAAAACACATTCATGTACGGTGGAGAATGTGCGCCAAATTGTCTTGGAAGGGGGAGAAAATGGCTCATGTTTCTCTCTCATCACTTTTTGAGAATGAAATTAGCAAAGGGTGCGTCTACACTGTCGAGTTCATCCAGTTTGACACTGCTTTCACTGCCACGGCTCTATGATAATCCTGGGAGCTGTAGTGTTACAAGGGCTTTTGCCTTCTCTGCCAAGGAGTGTTGGCGCCTCACCAAATTACAGATCCTGTCTTACATTGCTTTGAGCCGTGGGCAGTGAAAGTGGTGTTAAACTGGATTAATTTGACAGTGTAGATGCAACCCAAGAGTTTAGATCAGGTGCAGTTTAAAAAAAAATATTCACTCTACAGGACGTATTCTGTTCACAGTTTTTTGCACTTAAAGAAATATTTTTGGCAGAGAGAAATAACTATATGTCTTGAGCAGAACACAATCTTCCTGCATAGAATTTGGTGCTTTCTTTTCTCCGAAACTCTGTCCCTTGACTCTTGGGCAATCTTTGGTAAGGGAAATCCTTGCGAGTTGGGACTTGTGCAAGATTTGCATGTAGAAGGATTTATTTTTTGGCACAGAAAGAAGTGTTTTTATGTAGGATGCAGAGTTTTCTACAGTTAATAGCGATTACTGCGGTTACCTATGCAGAAAATACTGGTTTCTGCTCAAAAAAGGGTCAAATTCCTCACTCCAAAAGTACCAATGTACACATGGGAAGGACATTATTTTTGCAAATATTTTCAACTATTCTTTCCATCTGTATAGACTAGAGAGACTCTCCCTCTAGTCATTCCTCGTGTGGACAACATGGAGTCAAAAGACCTCCAAAACTATTTTATCTACATTCCAAAGAAGTTGTCTCTTACCTGGAAGAGGCCAAGGATGCATCTACATGCTGTGGAATTATTGCATTTTGACACCATTTTAATTGCAATGCCTCAGTAATATGGAATCCCGGGAGTTGTAGTTTTGCAAGTTCTGTAGCTTTCTCTGTTGACTCACCAAACTACAAGTCCCAAGATTCCATGGCATTGAGCCCTGGCAATTCAAGTGAGGTCAAACTGCATTCATTCTCCCGGTATAACTGTATTCAAAGACAGGAGCAAGAACTTTTACCTTGTCTACTCAGAAGGGTTTTATATTTCTGTGAGACTTTTTATATTTATTTTGCTTCTCATTGTTTGTAAATAAAGTCCATTGGAAAATCTGACAAATAGTTTCGCCTCCTTTCTCTCCCCCCCCCCCCACTCCACCCTGCACTCCATGTGCAGCCAAATTCATAGAATCATAGAATCATTGAGTTGGAAGAGACCTCATGGGCCATTCAGTCCAACTTCCTTCCTTATTTATTTACCATACTAGCTGTTCCCTGCCACGCATTGCTGTGGCCCACATTGGTGTTCTGTGTGGAAGGTTTGGCCCAATTCTATCGTTGGTGGTGTTCAGAATGCTCTGTGATTGTAGGTGAACTATAAATCCCAGCAACTACAACTCCCAAATGTCAAGGTCTATTTTCCCCAAACTCCACCAGTGTTCACATTTGGGCATATTGAGTATTTGTGTAGAGTTTGGTCCAGATCCATCATTGTTTGAGTCCACAGTGATCTCTGGATGTAGGTGAACTACAACTCCAAAACCAAAGGACACTGCCCACCAAACCCTTCCAGTATTTTCTGTTGGTCATGGGAGAACTGTGTGCCAAGTTTGGTTCAATGTCATACTTGGTGGGGTTCAGAATGCTCTTTGATTGTAGGTGAACTATAAATCCCAGCAACTACAACTCCCAAATGACAAAAATTTTTTTGAGTGAAGGACATACATTGGGTTGTTAGGTGTCTTGTGTCCAAATTTGGTGTCAATTCCCCCAGTGGTTTTTGAGTTCTGTTAATCCCACAAACGAACATTACATTTTTATTTATATAGATTTATACACAGTCCTTCTCAACCAAGAAGGGGACTCAAGGCGGCTTTACACATAGGCAACTATTCAATGCCTTACAGGGGTAGGGAACCTTTGGCCCTCCAGCTGTGGTGGACTTCAACTCCCACAATTCCTTGAGGCTCGGCATTCGCCCCAAAGGCTTACCTTGGCCCAATGCCGAGCCTCA